GATTAAGGCAGCTAAATCCGAATTAAAGTCCTAGTGTAGACCAGGCCTTAGCCACCAGGTCATGCTCCCACAGCTAGGAATGGGCGAAGTGGAGGGGACACTAGGTACCGGCAAGGGTGCGTGGTAGCACTGGGCTGTTTGCAGATGCTGGCTGACTGATGCTGGTGGACTGGGGAGCAATGAAGCCTGCATTGCTCCACCAAGATTATATATATCTCTTCTCTTTCCAGCTTCGTCTCCGGCATCATCAGACACTATTACCGCAGCGATGCCCATGTCCTGGCCGACTGCGAGCTTTAGGCCTGGGCAGACGAGATCTTCCATGAAGGCTTCCTCGGGAACGAGGCATCCGGTAGGGGCCATGTGAATGCAGAGCGCTGCAGCCGTTGGTCACTGGGCTCCATGCAGGGTCACTGGGGGACATCTCCAGACTTCATGACTGTCAGCCAGATCCCAGCTGGTGTCAATGGGTTTCTCTCCATTGGAGTCAATGGGGCCAGATCCCAGCAGGTGTCCATGGGCGTCATGACCCCCAGACTGGGAGCAAGGTATCCGACCCTGGAAGGACAGGGTGGCCTTTGTCACAGTGGTGGGATGGGGCTGTGGGGTGACTGGGAACATCCCTGCCATGATAACAGGCAGGGTGGGGAGATGGCGCATGGCCGAGCTGAGGCCCAGAGCAGGGGAGCGACTCTCCAGGGGAGGCTCCAGCAGAGGGAGGCATCGAACAGGCTCTAGGGGTCCCAGCTCAAGGCCATGGAGCAGGGCAGCGCCGGTCCAGGTCTGTGACGCCTGTTCTCTATCCCGCAGACTTCCCCTCATCCCTGCAGAGCATCCCTGAGCTCATCAAGTACCTGACCATGTGGATCTACTGCTGCTCGGCCCGGCATGCCGCCCTTAATAATGGGCAGGTAGGGAGAGGCCAGCCTGGGCACTTGGGGACTCATTCCCTGTCCCCTACTTTGCTCTGGGATCAAGCCACAGACACCCCACCCTGCACCCCACACGGGGCCCAGGGGTCCAGCCACCGACATCCCCGCACCCCACATGGGGACCTGGGATCCCGCTACCAACATCCCCACCCTGCACCCCACACGGGGCCCTGGGGTCCAGCCACCAACACCTCCACCCTGCCCCCCACCCCACTGACACCTCACTCTCCAGGACCCTGCTCTAGCAGCCAATCCCCCACCCAGCACCCAACCCCAGTGAGACTCAGGACACCTCAGGACCATGTCCCAGCCCCCCAGGACCTTCCCCCATTGCCGCACTCAGCACCCCAACCCCCGCCTTGACTTTCCTAACCGTTGCCCGCGGGAGAGATTCTGACCAAGCCCCGGGTGTCCAGGTCTCTTGGTTGAGCCAGACCTTCCCTGTGCTGGTGCCTCCTGGGCAGGGTGATGAGGGGATCCCTGGCTGGGCTCTGAGGAGTCCCTGTCAGGGCAGGGGGGGATCCCCATCTGGGCTAGGCCAGTCCCCATCTGGGCTGCGGGATCCCTTGCTAGGCTGGGGGGGTCCCCGTCTCCTCTGACTGTGGGGGTCTCTCTGGGCCGCAGTATGAGCTCAGAGCTTGGATTCCCAACTTCCCGGGCTCCACGAGGAACCCCCCACCCCAGGCCAAGGGCACCACCTCCCTGGAGAACTACCTGGACACCATCCCGGAGGTCAACAGCACCAGCGTCGCCATCTACACCCTCTGGGTCCTCTGCTGCGAGCCGGGGGACTCGGTGAGGACACGGGAGTTAGGAGGCACTGTGGTGCAGGGAGTGGGGTGCGAGCAGCAGGGGACACTTTCCCTGGCAGGCAGGGCTGTCCCCAGGGTGGCACTAGGGGGCACTGGGCTGTGGCTGGGGGTGTCCCTTTAATGAGCTGTTCAGCTGAGTTCTTCCCCCCCCCTTGTGGTGACAATAAAGGACCTGCTGACGTTTCACATGAGCCAGGGCATGAACCCAGGTGTCTTGGCCCAGCTGCACTTTGAGGGATTCCGTTCAAACACCCATAAATTCCACCGTGTTGTTTTAACTGGCTGCAGGGTTCTCCTTCCCTCCCTGGCCTGAATTCTTCCCAGTGTTGCTACACAGCTGTTAAACACCTGCCCCATTCTCTAGGGCATGTGAGGGTTTCTGTATAAACAGCCACCTGGCCCTAGAGGTGGCTGCATCTCAGCCCCAGGTGATGGAGCCCTTCCATGCTGTCTCTCACCGCTCTCCCATTCCCTTGCAGAGATCCCTGGGCACATACCCTGATGAGCACTTCGTAGAGGAGGAGCCCAAGCAGCTGAAAGCAGCCTTCCAGGGGCACCTGGCCCAGATCTCCCAGGAGATTCAAGAGAGGAACAAATCTCTGCCCATCCCCTACCGCTACCTGGATCCCCACCATATCGAGAACAGCACGTCCATCTGAGTCCGACCGGTGAGCCCCAGGGACGGCCCCCATGCAGCCGCTGGCAATGCTGTCCCTGAGATCCTGTCCTGGGTGCAATAAACCACAGACTGGTTCACTCTGAATGGCTGATTCTGTCTAGTGGGGTACAGCACGGGGGGGCTGGGAGCCAGGACTCCTGGGTTCTCTCCAACCACTGTTATATATTTGCAGCAAATGTTGTACAAAGGTTGTCCAGTAAGGTGTCTATGAAAAAGTAATGGTTTGCTGATTTTGATTATGCTATCTGTATGCATGCATCATTTTTTTAGTTGAAGTTATGAATATTGGCTATGTACTTGTATATCAATATGTTTTAATTCTGAAGTAGCCTTGGTAAAGCATTTGGTCAGCTGCTTGAGAAAGGAATTTGCAAGTTAAGTGCCCAGTCAAGAAACACTTAACTGACAATGGACCTTGGAAGACTTCAATCCACATAAGAAGCCTTCCTGGGGACGTTCAAGATAGTATGTGGGCAATGGCTGCTGTCTGTAAAGAACTGAGTCATGCATGGACATGTGACTTGCCCATGTGATGCCATATTGCTGTAATTTTCCACAGTAAGAACAAAGAGGTGTCCTTACACCTGGAGGAGACTATAAAAGGCAGCTGCCTCATCTCCATCTTGTCTTCAATCCTGCTTCATTCCTCTGGAGGGACTTTGCTACAAAATGAAGCTTTAAACAAAGGACTGAATGACCTATCCCGCTGTGGATGTACTCCAGAGACTTGATTTGAACGTGCAGTTTAATCCATCACTGCTACAAGCCTGAACCAAGAACTTTGCCATTAGTGTATGTAATTGATTTCTTTAACCAGTTTTCACTCTCCTCTGTATTTCTTTCTTTTATGAATAGAATCTAAAGGTTTAAAGGATTGGCAACAGCGTGATTTGTGGGTAAGATATGATTTGTATATTGATCTGGGTCTGGGGCTTGGTCCTTTGGGATAGGAAGAAATCTTTTTCTTTTACTGGGGTATTGGTTTTCATAACCATTCGTCCCCATAACAAGTGGCACTGGTGGTGATATTGGGAAACTGGAATGTCTAAGGGAATTGTTTGTGTGACTTGTGGTCAGCCAGTGGGGTGAGACCGAAGTCTTCTTTGTTTGGCTGGTTTGGTTTGCCTTATTATTAAAGGAAACCCAGCCTTGGGCTGTAACTGCACTGCTTTAAGCAATTTGTCCTGAATTGACACTCTCAGAAGTGTCCCACAAGAACCAGCATTCTTACATGGGGACTGGTGGTTAGAGCCGGGGGGGCTGGGAGCTCTCCCTGGCCCTGGGAGAGGAACAGGGGTCTCATGGGTTAGAGAGGCACCAGGTTCAAGTGAAATCATCCAGCCAACACCAAGCCATGTGTCAATGGGTAGCAACATACCTGTGTCCAAACCCTGCACTGGACAGGAAGGAGTTAAAGGACATCTGTGGCTTTAATTAACCCTGATCAGCAATTAAGGCCTGGGAATTATGAGTTATTGCGATTGAAGAACTGCCCCGGCTCCAAGGCCTTTGAGAAAGCTGGAACAGAGGGCTAAGAAAATAAACCCCCAACCACCCCGGTCTAATGGCTAGATTTCTTCCATCTACCTCAAAGCCGCTGCTGCCTTTTAGTGCAGCTTAAGAGATTTCTGCTTTTTCCCTGGCTGCGAACATGTACGTGAATTCAAAAGCCCATGAAATGAACATCAAACACGGATGTGATGCGATGGCCCAGATACCGTCGTCGAAAAGGGAACCTGATGGAATCGGATATTATTATTATTAAAAGGCGTATAAAAAGGACATGACACCAAATAGCGTGAATATCAGGACGCTTGACCGCAGAGTGGAAGCATCTGAAATGGAAGGTACAGATGCAGCTCAGCCCTACTGTCATAACTATAAAGGGAAGGGTGGCAGCTCTCCTGTGTACTGTGCTATGGAATCCCTCCTGGCCAGAGACTCCAAATCCTTTTACCTGTAAAGGGTTAAGAAGCTCGGGTAACCTGGCTGACACCTGACCCGAAGGACCAATAAGGGGGCAAGATACTTTCAAATCTTGGGGGGGGGAAAGGCTTTTGTGTGTGCTCTTTGTTTTAAGGGGTGGTTCGCTCTTGGGACTGAGAGGGACCTGACATCAATCCAGGTTCTCCCCATCTTTCTAAACAAGTCTCTCCTATTTCAAACTTGTAAGTAAAAAGACAGGCAAGGCGTCTTAGATTTACTTTGTTTTCTCAACTTGTAAATGTACCTTTTACCAGACTGTTTATCTTTGTTTTGCTGTACTTTGAACCTAAGACAGAGGGGGGTCCTCTGAGCTCTTTAAGTTTGATTACCCTGTAAAGTATTTTCCATACTGATTTTACAGAGATGATTTTTACCTTTTTCTTTAATTAAAAGCCTTCTTTTTTAAGAACCAGATTGATTTCTCCTTGTTTTAAGATCCAAGGGGGTTTGGATCTGTATTCACCAGGAGTTGGTGGGAGGAAGGAGGGGGGATGGTTAATTTCTCCTTGTTTTAAGATCCAAGGGGGTTTGGATCTGTGTTCACCAGGGAATTGGTGAAAGGTTTCTCAAGGCTTCCCAGGGAGGGGATTCTTGAGATGGTGGCAGCGGGACCAAAGCTAAGCTGGTAGTTAAGCTTAGAGGTTTTCATGCAGGCCCCTACATTTGTACCCTAAAGTTCAAAGTGAGGATACAGCCTTGACACCTACATAACAAGGTCTTGCGACAGGGGGTACAGAAATGAAGGGATTCCACAGCTGGAGGCCAACAGGTCTTGCATAGCGTGCCATGATGGACTGTCATAAGAACATAAGAATGTCCAGACTGGGTCAGACCAAAGGTCCATCTAGCCCAGTGTCCTGTCTTCATAGAATCGTAGTGTGATGGTGCACCCCATAAGGCTTCATGGAAATATGCTTATGAATATATATATATGACATAACTGGAATATGTTTTATGCTATATATGCCATGTAACGTATCTATGTAAAGATTATGATCTACTGAATACATTCCTCCTATTTGTATGCATGTATCATTTTTGTATTTGAAGTTAGGAATATTGGCTGTGTACTTGCTTGATTTCTAAGTAGCCTTAGTAAAGCATTTGGTCAGCTTCTTGAGAAAGGAATGTGCAAATTACGTGCCCAATCAAGAAACACTTAAAGGAGAATGAACCTTGGGAGGCTCCAATCCACATAAGAAGTCTATCTGAAGACGTTCAGGGTAGCATGTAAACAATGGCTCCTGCCTGTAAAAACTGAGTCATGCATGGGCATGCGACTTGCCCATGTGACTCCAAAACTCCATCTTGGAGCTGGACTTTGCATAAGAGAGAGAAGGGGGTCTCCACCCACAAGAGAAAGTCTACTTAAACCCCTGGGAGACCTTCTGTTTTGTCTTCAGCTGGCTCAAGAGAGAGCCTCTCCATCCCCAAGGATATATCCTATCTCCTAGAACTGGAAGGGACCTTGAAAGGTCATCAAGTCCAGCCCCCTGCCTTCACTAGCAGGACCAAGTACTGATTTTGTCCCAGATCCCTAAGTGGCCCCCTCAAGGATTGAACTCACAACCCTGGGTTTAGCAGGCCAATGCTCAAACCACTGAGCTATCCCTCCCCCCAAGAAAGAAACTGGAACAAGGGACAGTAACTACAGGGGGTGTGAGTGATTGCTGGACCCAGACTAGAAGGAGACTAGTCTGTAAAAGGAAGCTTACTGGAACACCATTAAGGGTGAGATTTTGTCTGTATTCAGTTTTCTTACTCTATTAGACTCAGACTTGCATATTTTATTTTATTTTACTTGGTAATTCACTTTGTTCTGTCTGTTACTACTTGGAACCACTTAAATCCTACTTTCTGTATTTAATAAAATCACTTTTTACTTATTAATTAACCCAGAATATGTATTAATACTTGGAGGGGGGGGGCAAACAGCTGTGCATATCTCTCTCAGTGTTATAGAAGGCAGACCATTTATGAGTTTACCCTGTATAAGCTTTATACAGGGTAAAATGGATTTATTTGGGGTTTGGACCCCATTGGGAGCTGAGCATCTGAGTGTTAAAGACAGGAACACTTCTTAACCTGCTTTCAATTAAGCCTACAGCTGTTAGGGGACGTGGTTCAGACCTGGGTCTGGGTTTGCAGCAGGCTAGCGAGTCTGGCTCAAACCAGGCAGGGCACTGAAGCCCCAAGCTGAGAGGGCAGGGAAAGCAGGGACAGAAGTAGTCTTGGCACATCAGTTGGCAGCCCCAGGGGGTTTCTGTGATCCAACCCATCACAGTGGCGTAGTAGAGCAGGGTCTGTGCACAGCTGATTGCTTTGAGATACTAGTAGTGATTTTAAGTGAGCTTTAAGTGTGGTGGCTGGAGAACAGATGAAATGGTTACTGGTTTGTTATTTTCTGTCTGCTTATTTTGGGTAAGGGAAATAGGGACAGAAAAGGAAGCAAAATAAGTAAGAGTGAAGAGCAGAAGAAGTTGAACTCCACAGGTTGCAAATTACCCAGAAAGTCTGAACACTGGGCGCTGGGAAAGTCTCTGTTAACTAAGAAGTCCCTGAGCTGAGTGCATCCCAGTTTCAGTGAACTGCAGAGGGGGTGTGGCCCAGCATAAGAAAGCAGGAAAATGACTACCAGTGAAGCAGCTACTAAACTAGAGCTGGCTAGATTGGAAGCAAAAGAGAAGGAAAACAAACATAAAAGACTGATGGAATTAAGACAATTAGAAATTAATGCAGAAACAGCCAGGGAGGAGGCTGCCCACAAGAGAGCTATAGAGGCCCAGATTGATGCCCAGAAGCATGAGCTGGCTGTCATGGGGTTGAAGAGACAAAACCCTTCAGCTGCTGCCTCCACTTCCCCAAAAACACACAAATGGGAGTGACTATGTTCACAGTATGATGAATCCAGCGATATTGCCAAATATTTCATCACCTTTGAGAGACTATGCACCCTCCATGCAACCCCTGAAGATCAAAAGATGACTATATTGA